ATCAAAATCGGTTGATTCGTTCGAGAGTTATCGAAAACGAAAAATTTCGAAAAAAGTGTTTTTTTCACATAACTTCGACATTTCTTTTCGGATCGTTTTTGACGAAATAAAAATTCTAAGAGCCCAAAAAAAATCACGTCGATCGTCACCAAGAACGTGAAAATTGGATGTTTGGTTCGTGAGTTATCGTTGTCGAAAAAAATTGGAAAAAGTGAATTTTTTAAATTTCTCTAAGATTTTCGGTTCGATCAGTTTGTGTTCAAAAGTTTATCATAGATTCTGAAAAAGTGCGTCGAATACGGCCAACTGCGTGTAAATCGATTTATTCATTTAGAAATTATTGCAGTTTGAAAATCCAAAAAATACTGTTTTAGTAAACCTCTATCAGCCTTTTGAGCTCGAAGAGCTCAAAAGCCTACAAAAGCTATTTCTTTGAGCTTGGAGAGCTCAAAATAACACACAAATTTCCTTTTTGAGCTCGAAGAGTTCAGAAACGTCGTAAGTGCAATTTCAAGGGTTTAGGAATGGAATAGGCGGGAAGTTGCAGGGATGGTCTTTAGAGTCAACCGTTTTCCAGATTTATTTTCATTATTATCATTATTTAAATGTTTGAATGTTATAAAATATTCAATAGAAAAGTTTAAAATGAAATTAAATTAGCTACATCCGTTTTAGTTCCCGATCCACCGCTAGAGCGCGAAAAATTCGGTTACGCGTCCGTTCGAAGACTGTTATTCCGAAGTTGTAAAAAGCAAAATTATAAACGCTTTCGGTATTCTGATTTCGATCAGAGATTTTACCTGTCTTGAGTTCACTAGTCGCTGTATTGTGTTCTCACCAATCAAGATACTTTAAGTTTGGTCCACTGGGATAAAATCAAGGTAAGTTGATTTTACATTAATTATTCTGGTTAGTGCGTTTCGCTGGATACACACTTGCTAAAAATTAATTATTACTGTCCCAGTATTTTCACCTTCTGCCGAGATACTGTTGGTACGCAAACCGAATAGGTGGGGCAAGAATGATTTGATCCGCTTGTGCCTGGGAATAGAGTCAGAGACTCCTAGACGATGACTAGTCACCAGGAAGGGGGAGCTAGCTTTGAGTTCACTTAGTTCGCGATTTGATTTACCGACCGTTCGTTTATTATCGATCTTTTAAGTTTCGTTTAAAATTATTTCTTGTAACGAATTAACTGCATCACTCTGTATTTATTTTATTCAATTAAATTATATTTTCTTAATCAACTTTTAAAGGCAATTAAGTTCTTTTAATTTCAATTAATTATTTATCTTATCAATATTTCCTCAATAAAATTGACCCTGGTTCCGGCGAGCTTACGAGCTAAGGATTTACCTGTTACAAAATGGCCTCGAACAACGGACCCGTTGAAATATTTGTTATATTATTTATCTACTAATACCAAATTAATTAATTAATTAAATTCATAATAAGACTATTCACTGTGACGATTTAAAAAAATGTTTACTCGAACTCCACCCCACAAAACCTCATATCTATGGGCATTACGTAAAGATGATTTATTTGCCGAATTAGAAAAATGGGATGTTCCATATGATAAATCCACGACTCTGACTGAACTACGACGTACGCTTCGCAATTTTCTAGTACAAAAGAAACTCACGAATAATGACCGCGTTAATGGTTGTGACAATCTACTAAATGATCTTGATAACTCTGAATTTAATGACGAAGGCGCGTCAGCAGGAATTAAAAATGATGAAAAAGAGGAAATCGAAAGTAAATTAATGTTAGAATTAGAAAAACAAAAAGAAGAATGGTTTAAACGTCGCGAAGAAAAAAAAACCAATTACGGAAAGAAATTAGTGATAAATTACACCACGAATAGGCACATCAGCAAAAATAAATAGAAAAACGTGATAATAAAGCCCGTGAAAATTTTACTAAACAATTACAAATCGAGTTGAAGAAGAAATTACAACATCTTGTAACACAAACCACGGATCTACAAACAAATAGTAATAATGATAACTTAAATAGTAATAATTCACAAAATAATGAAACTAACGATAGAAATTTAGTCCGCAAGTGGAATATTATGTTTTGTGGCGATCGTAATGTACTTGATTTTCAAGAACGAGTAGAGGAACTTGTTGTTAGCTATGGTTACAGCAAGGACCGATTACTCCAATGCGTACCTCTCTTACTAAAAGATAAACTATTACTTTGGTATCGGAATAATAAACGAGACTGGGCAAACTGGGACGAGTTCGCACTTGATTTAAAAAAATTTTATCTTCCCTCTGGGGCCGAGATTGAATTAGAAGAACAAATACAAAACCGAGTACAAGGATCCAATGAACTAGCCAAAGAATATATTACAAATTTGCAAACATTGATACGACGTTTTGACAAAATGAGTACGGATGCTCAACTAACTAGACTTTATCATAACTTACGACCAGAATATAAAAGATACATTAAGAAAAATGAATTCACTAAGGTAGCCGAATTAACTAAACTCACGGGAGATTATGAACAAATGATTGCACAAGAAAAATCGAAACCACCAAATATGAAACCCGCAAAAACAATGAACCCACTAATAATTAACGAATATAATGCAAAAACCCATTGTTGGCGGTGTGGTCAACAGGGTCATCACCGAAATCAATGCGAAAACAAGCTAGTAATATTTTGCTCGCGATGTGGTACTCTGGGAAAATCTTAATGTGTCTATATAAAAAAATTTTTTTCCCGGGTTCTTACTATTTATGCAACCGGAGAAACTTTGAAGTTCAACAAAATGGTAGTTATGTTTTCGAGCTAGTCATGAAAAATTATATTTTTTCATTATTGAATACATGTTCTGTAAGTATAGCAATTCTTAGTCTCCGTAATTGAAGGAAAAAAAAAAAAACATGTATTACCACGATAAAATCTGAATTTTCAAGTACACTATCTGTTCAATAAGTTTGAAAATAAACTTTGTAAAATAGAATTTTTTTCAAGTTATCTTCTTTTTAGAGTCAAAGTGTAAATGTTAAATTTTGACTTTTAAAGATATTCATTATATCTAAAATTATTAATTTCAACTGAAGTTACAATAAAAATTTTTTGCCCTCCGGGCGGAAAGTGGCAACTTTAGCTGCGCTAAACAAAGTTGCCGCTTTCCGCCTTCGTCGGACAAAAAAATAGTATACACTCTACGGGAAGTAAATAAGAAAGTCTCAGATCACATGTTTGTTGACCTCGGCTTCGCCTCGGACAACAATTACATGTGATCTGAGACATTTCTTACTTTACTTCCCTAGGTGTGTAATATACTATATCAGTTAATAGTATATGACACTACAAGGGCAGAAAGTTTGAAATTCCTGCACTGCGCGCCATGATGCCCGAGGCAAAGCCGAGGGCATCACAACGCGCAGTTCAGGGCTCTCAAACTTCTGCCCGTGTAGTGTATACAGTCAACGCTCTCTGTATTTGACTCGCCCGTACAGGACCATTCTCTGTATTTGACTCGTCCTTGTCCATAAGAGCTGTGTAAAATCGTTAAATACGGAAGAATGTGGTCAAATGCAGAGAGCGGTCAAATACAGAGAGCGTCGACTGTACTATTTTTATTGCTACCCGGCCGAAAGTACGGAAAACTGACATGTGTAAATTAAAAGATATTGATGCCTGCCCTGACATTTGCGGCACGAACGAAGCGAGTGCTGCTGGTCAGAGGCCAGGCATCAAATAATCTATTATAATCGACAAATACATTACTACTTTCTCAAAATATCTTAATTAAATCAAATAAGTCTAAACTTATTAATATATTATAAATTAACTCTGACTTTAAGAATAAAAAAAAAACAGAAATATGAAATAACAATCGTAAATGCATAAAAAAAAATTAGTAAAAAAATCTGCTGGTCTGATATTTTTTCAAATAATTATTTTTTAACTTCCTGCTAAGAAAATCGAAGATTTTCAAGAATCGAGAAGTTATTGTTGTTACCCCGTTTTGCAGAAATCGAGTTTTTATCAGATCTCGACGTTTTCAGGTCACAGGAAGCATCCCTGACTACCCCCGCGATTTTGTCACTATGTATGTATGTATTAGGGTGTGCCAAAAAACGACGATATTTTTTTTTTTATCTTAATCCAAAATATCTTAGAAGATCTCCAAAAAAAGCTCCTGTTAAAAGCGAAGCTCAAAATTCCAATTCTAATATGTCCTCCATCGAACTTAAAGTTTTTCCGTTTAAATAACATGGGAAACATGATTTTTTTTTAGTTTTTTGTCCTGCAAACTATGATGAAATCATTTTTTGAAAAAACGAATGAATGAACCTTGTTTATTATTAAATTTGGTACAAAAAATTTTTGTGAGTCGAATTTCTATCTTCAATATTTGATTTGTTACATGGCTTTGAAATTCAAATTTCCGGTTTTTTGCATTTTTTATCTAAACTGTAAGAGTTAGACGAAAATGTTAAATGACAAATTTGTAGTACTTTTAATATTCTATAAAAAAATTCCTGTCAATTTTTTTATATCATCAATAACAACAAAGTTACAGGCTCATGTATATTTATTTTTTCTAATTTTCGCTTTTACGAACTGAAATATCGATAATTATACAAAAAATTTGGTGCAAATTTGTTAACACATCAAACTTACAACAAAATTTAGTGAATAAGATGTTTCGTAGTATCAAACCATAAAATTTACAGACTGAGTCAGTCATATTTTTATGATTTTTCAACTATTTTATAAAATATATTAATAAAGGACATAAAATATCATTAAGATATCAAAAGCAAACACAAGTTACAATATAATTGCAGTTATTTTTAGTTCAATAATTTTTAATGTTAGCTTAAAATGTGACAATATTTATATTTTTACACTTTAATTGATATTTCGTTCACTATTTTAATATTCTGAAAATGATCTGTTCTGTTTTTCTGATTTGATCTGTTCACACGAAAATTTAAATCCCTTAATTTTCGTGGCGAGTGTATTTCAATTTGATCAGTTCAACAAATATTCAACTTTTGCTTATCACAAAAAAAATTATTCCTCCTTATTTACAGAAAAATAGTTTTTTTGAGCGAAGAAAGAATTGAAAATACTAAAATTTTCTAAGTTCAAACAAATTTTCACTTCTATCTCAATAATTTTCACTTTGTGTAAATTGCAAAAAAAAATAATTTTAACTTTTTATTACTGCAAAAGTATGTTTGTTTCAATCTATGAAATTCTGGAAAATATCAGAACAGAGTGAAAATAAATTGCTGATTAGGTAAGCATTAATTACACAGGTCCACAAAAAAACTGAACACGAATCTGAAGTCAAAATTGGGGATCAAACTGCAAAAAACGGAGAAAAATAAAAAAAAACCGATAAAATCCATTATTTAATAGTATTTTCCGTATGTTATGATCAAATTGAAGTTCCTGCTTTGTTTCTCTCTGTAGCATCCGTGACTGATTCACAAATATGTTTATTTGCCATTTATTGTGTCTTTTTGAAGTCTTTTATCGAATGAATTTGGTCTTTGATACAATAGAAAACGTAAGGACATTGAATTGGTACATTTACCGGCAAAAACCTGCTACCACGGAGTGTTTGGACTACGATGACAACTGCCCTTTAACGGGATGTGTAGAATGATTCGCTAGTCAACATTTCGTGGTATCGAAGCCCGCGAAGGCCCGCTGTTTTGTAGGGAAGCGCTAGAATATGAGAATGATGCCGTAGTGTGTCCGACGACGAGTTGACATTGTCCTCGTCAAAATCGGAAAGCCCTTATACTTAAGCCCGGGGAGGTATGAGGGTTATCACCCCTAGGGCGGCTGACTCACCTGCGATCGGGCCAGGTATTCTAGCGTGCGGGGTTTGTTTATTTTAATGGATTGTAACGCTTCTTCTACTCAAAATTTAGCTGAATCTTCTAATACTCATGGCGATCATGAATGCTCTAAGAATCCTAATTTCTTTTGCTACGCTTGTGAAAAATACATTGGGATGAAAAATACAAAAGAAACTCACGAATAGGTTTGTGACTTTGTATGAAAAGTGTTTTAATATGGAAGTTGCTCTCAATTTAAAAAATTGGATACCCCATGTTGTTTGTGGTTCATGCTATAACATGGTTAAACGATTTGAGAAGCACCAGGACAAAGAGAAACTTAAATTTAAAACTCCAGCTATATGGAAGAAGCTTCTTGGTGCAAATGATTGCTACTTTTGCACGACAAAAGTTGAGACTGCGGGCCGAATTCATAAGGACAAAATTTCGTATTCTCCTACTTCAAGTATGCAACAACCAGTTGCAAACTTTATAGAAGGTTTAGAAGATGATACGTCAAAAGACAGCCTGACCAGTGGATTCGATACAATGGAAGTCTACGTCGATCCTGAGAATGTAGCTCTTAATGACGAAGAGTCTGCTACTGGCAGTGAATCCGATTCCAGTGAACCGGATGAAAAAGTTCCTTCAAGCAGTGAAGAAGAGTACAGGCCGATCGGTGAAGAGAAAAAGCCAAAAACATCTAAATGATTTAGTTAGAGAAACTAAACTCTCAAAAGAAGCGGCTGAAATATTGGCTTCGATTATAAGAAGGAGAAATCTTCTGACAAAAGGTACTAAAGTTACATTTTATCGGAATGGAGAGAAGGCTTTCCGTAAATATTTTGAAAAAGAGGAAGATTTGCTTTATTGCACTGATATAAAAGGACTTGTGGATGAATTAAAGCCAAATATATATAAGCCTGAAGATTGGCGGTTATTCATTGACTCGTCTCAACGCAGTCTTAAGGCAGTTCTTCTTCACAACACCAACAAATTTGCTCCTTTACCTTTAGCTCACTCAACTGTACTTAAAGAAGAGTACACAAATCTAGAAACTGTCCTGAAAAAAATTAAGTATGAAGAACATAAATTGCAAGTATGTAGTGATTTGAAGATTTTGTCCATGATCCTGGAACAACAATCTGGATTCACGAAGTATCCATGCTATTTGTGTATGTTTGACAGTAGAGATCGCAAAAATCACTACGTCAAAAAAGTTCTGCCTTCGAGATCTTCATTTAGGGTTGGATCACATAATATAATAAGAAAACCGGTTGTAGACACAACCAAAATTCTCATTCCTCCTCTTCATATTAAACTTGGGTTGATAAAACAGTTTGTGAAAGCTCTTGATAAAGAAGGAGAGTGCTTTACATACCTGTGTCAAGTGTTTAAGGGGGTATTCTACTGTAGAGGCATGAATTTCGCCCGGTTTTAGAAGCGCTGTACGAAGGAAACAAAAAATATTTTTACAATCAATTTTTTTATCATTTGTTTATTGATGTTTTATTATTACATAAAAAAATTTAAAAAAAAAATTAAAATTGACAAAGTTATGAGCAGTCAAAGTGGGGGGGGGGGGGGTAAAAAAAAAGAGGGTGTCCTGGCGTGCATTATTCCAACCCTCCTGGTGATCTGAAACATAAAAAACAAACAGATTCTTAATTATTATAGATGCCGCTATCGTATGACCCTTGGATAAGTTAAAAAAAAATTTTTTTTTTAAATTGCGGCAGTTTGAAAAAAAAATTTTTTTTTTTCATATTTTTTTAACAATTCCGAATTTTTTAAAAATACTAAATGAGAAGTTATAGTTTTGGGCATGGTTCACGAGATGAAGCAAGGTATAAAGAATAGAGTGGTCCAAAAAAAACATTTT